GGGGGGGGGGGGCAGAGTAAACCACCCACATGGAAACATTTTACCCACCTTCTGAGTTGCAAAGAGGAGTTTATTGTATTTTCAACAGTCTTGCAGTAATGAAATGAAACCTACAGTAACTGAAATGTCTGAGGTCTGTGAGATGGCTGTTCACCATAGACACAGAGGAGGCTGCAGCAATTCCCTTCTCGAATCAGAAATCAGACAAAAATCAGTTAATAAAAAGTCTGTTTTAAGAAAACTGTATGAGACCGCTGGTAGAAGCAAAATATTTTGCATAAATTGTGAGAAATTAAGGATTAATTTCAAGCGCATAGTTGGCGATTGTTGGAACAGGTGGCCCCCAAACTAAATGTGTGTTACGATGACAAGGCAGTTAAGCTAACATTAGTTGTAGTTCAGTGAAAGGGAGAAGCTTGAGTTCAGAAGGCATGTGTAATTACTCTTTAATATTTATAGAAGATCAAAAGACACTATTCAGAGTTGACTCCAACTCATTGCAGCAGATTGAGCAGGAGCAGAGAGGTTGTGTTGCTCCTTTTGATTCATATTTTTTTCTTTCTCATTTATCTTCAGAATGCATTCTTGACTTGCATATTACAAACTAAATGTCCATTTCTATTTCTTATTTGTGATTAGAGACACATACATTAACAAACGTACATTATGGTGCTAATCAGGCCAAAGAAAGGGAACCTTTGACTATCTCTTCATAGGGCTCATAGGTTAACTTATTTGAGTGAGGCATATTTCTAAAAGTGGAAAACATTTTAGTCTTATGTGTCTTCTTAGTCTTATTACAAGTCTTATGTGGCACCTTCTGCTTCCAGTGCCGGCAAAGCTGGATCCACAGACTCCCTTTAAATCATGACATTAATCAGGAGCCTTTCTCTGATTCTTGCATAGACTCATATATTTCAAAATTAACTTTTCATGTCTACAAAATCACACATTTAAAAGTATGGTGCTACAATAGAATACACGCAAACATGCACTACAAATGTAGACGGAAACACAGGTTCATGTTAGTGTCAAATTCTTAGTTTATTTATTAAAGTAGCCGTAGTTCTGACCTCCGCTGTAACTGTTTAAGGGGTCTAAGGTCAGTCAGTGTTTAAAGCTTCTTGCTGGTTCTCACCAGTACTACAGAACCGGATTTGGAGGTCTAGAAAGAGACAGAAAAAGAAGTATATTATTAAAGCAAGGAATATGTTATTCCAGTGCCTTATGGTGATTCCTTATCACAGCAGTGTAAGAAAAATGGAAATGACTGTAATAGTTCCCAAAACAATTTCACTGGTAGTAATTATGTGCATTTTAGCTCGTGGCTGAGACCTCTACAGTAAATGGCCGTCATTCAACATACTCGAATACATATTTTCACTTAAAAAGTGCATTAACTCAATCATAACCATAGGCTATTGTTCAATCTTTTTTTAGTCTTAAAATCTAAAACACACTATTATATATTTTTCAAATCAAAATCAACACATGGAACTACGAAGAGGTAACATTTTAGAGAATTGTCTCACATTGACTGAGGTTTAAAACGTAAAATGTGAGACTGTAGAAATGCCCATTAGATGCACTCATTTGCACTACTCTGTGTTTGAGACTGTTTTTCTCGTTAGCAAATGCCTACCCCCGGCTGCAGAAATATAACATTAATGACTCTAATAATCCCTGCGGGGTGTTGAGTATAATAACTGCTGTCATCACGTTAGGTTCTAAGCACTAAAAGCCTAAGTGAGCGTGTTTACCTCGACAAGCTTGCCTCCGCAGATCTCAGAGGTGTGGTGGTAGTTGGGGAAGGCCACGCTCAGCTTGCCTCCCTCCATCTGCACTGTGGCCTGAAAGGACAGGTTATAATCAGGCAGGGGACCGGGGTACATTCATCCTACCTTCAGTTTCTGCTTGGTTTATAATCACCTTGATGGTTTTCTATTTCTGGAACTAAATAAGGTTAAAGGACAAGCTCTGGGCTCTTTGCTTCCTACCTTGAACTTCTTTCCTCCGATGGTCTCCATGTCGCACTCCTTGCCGATGGTGAATTTGTTAGTGACCTTGGCGTTTGTGGGGTAGATTTGGGTCCAGGAGAAGGTATCTCCGTCCTGGGTGACCTCTGTGATCAGCTTGTAGTCACGGCCCTTCTCGATAACTTCATCAGGGATACCTAGAGTTGGAAAAGATGGGGGTGTGAGGTTATAATAGCCAGAATTAGTCCATGAAATCAGAGATGACAGAGGAAAAATGCATTTGTTGTCGGCTGCAAAGGGTTTTAGATTCAGTCTCACCAAGCAGCTTGCAGAACTGATCATATCCCTCCTGGGTCTCGGTTTCCCATCTTCCAGCAAAGGCCATTTTGGTGGTGTTGGTGGGTGGAGGTGTGAGAGCAGAGATGCTGAGGCAAGCTGAGGGAAAAGCAAGGTACTGAGACAGAAACTGTTTCCTGTTTATATATCTCTCGCCACCTCCCTCATCTGCATGTGATGACTCAAGAGAGCAATTATAGCTGAAGATGATGACTACAATAGGCTACAAGGGAGAGGGCAATAACCTGCATAAACGGGCGTTTATGGAGTTCCCAAGCAGTGAGTAAAATGCTGACTGCTCATCAGGGCAAGCTGCTAGCTCACCTCCAGGTCAATGAACTCAATGGCTTTATGGCTGCACCCTCCACTTTTACTGCCACAAAGTCAAAAATCAAATAAAGAGCTTTGTTTTAAAAGACAACCCATCTATTTGAAGTAGTTTGTTATCTTACATTGTGAATGGTCTGATCTGTAAAAAGATCATCATGTACTCATTCAAGGTCTTTACTCATGGGATGGCATTGAAAAAGAATATGACAATACTTGAGTACATTCAAATACAAAGAAACCCCAAGTTGACTTTTGTTTTTTCATTAATTGCACATTTGTTTGGGAATTTGCACCACTTAAATACAATATATATAGACTAGAATGGAAAATACTTTAATGTCCTTGTAGGGAAAATAGTTTTGGACTCTGCAGTTCCACGAAAGATAAAATTACAGACATCAACATCTCAGCAGCACACATCTTCCAACAGTTTGCACATACACATGACTGGTAGAGGGGTTGTGTGTCAAAATGTTGACTAATTTAGTGCAGGGCCGCCCAAAGTGGGTCTATACAGTTTTATTTGGCCTACAAGATGTTTCTAGCAAAAAAAAAAAATTAATTTAAAGCAATTGTAATATAAATTGCAGTTCACACAGTTTTGTGATGTAAAACTGGTCTTCAAATAAGTAGGATATTTAATTATTCACTATTTTTTAGAACCTGAGCATGAGAGCATGAGTTTGAGTGAGGACGTCAATCAGGTGTTTGCTTTAGGCCTGTGGCCCACCACATAAGTTTCCATAAGGCCATCCAAAATAAAAGGTTTGGGTGCTCCTGATTTAATGTATGCTGTGCTCACTCCATATTTCTAAATTAATTTGTGTTTAAAGAAAGGGCTGGCTGAAAGCAACCCAAAATATATGCAGTAATATAATCGCCTACAGATAATTGAAAGAGCTCTGAGAGTAGATGTCTTGCAGCAAATTGAATAAAAACAGCAAACTAGTGACAAAATCAAGCACTTCTTAAATCGTCCTTTAAGAACAACACAGTACACGGCCACACTGTTAACAGAATTACAGTATGTTGCTTGTACACATTGGTGGCTGAAAATTGTCCATTAAGGTGACTACATGACTGAAGCACCTCTGGCTTTCAATTCTGACAAACTGTGAATAGGTAAAAGCTTTTGATGCTGCACTTAACTTCGATCTCACACAATGCAGCTATTTTCACAGACCACTGATAGCGTTTCCAAACCATGAAAAGTCAACATGGCCTTGGAGCTCTTTATAGAAACATAAAACATCATATTGGCCAACATCCTATAAAAGACACCCACTATCTCTCCTTTTACAGTCTCTCACACTCACACTCACACACACACACACACATACATACACACAGAGGTCTTTATGCAAAAGTGCACAAATGCAGTTTAAAAAACCCACTTCTCATCAGATTTAACATGGTATCTCCCCACTGCAGCATCTTTATATTTTCTACATCAGCTGGGTGAACTGTCTTCTACAGTATGACATGACATTGGCCTCAGGTTGACCTTTAACGCTCTTGCGTTTGACCTTCCAGAATAAACTTGATGATGAAGCTTTTTACGCATATAATATTCAAGCTACTGTGTGAATTTGTTTTGCACGTTTCTTTAATATTGTTCTGCAGTTGTTTTCCTCAACTTTCATAAAGAAAAACATAAGCATGTCCTTGTTGAGCTTGAGGTAGGCAGTATATTTACTCAAGTACTGTAAATACAGTTTTGAGGCACTGGTATTTTTGCTCAGCTACATTTATTTGTCATCTTTAGTTACTAGTTACTTTATAGATTCAGGTTATTTCATTATTTCACATTATGATGGGTGACTATAGATGAAGCTATCTGACAGTAATTACTAGGGTTAAGTGATTACTCAATGTATAATACGGAGTTGGCAGGGTGTGTAGGAATCAGTAGCATCTAGCAGTAAGGTTGCAGATTGCAACCAACTGAATACTGATCACATCTTTTTTCAACACTATAAATATAACTTTTGCTCTAGGGTAATTAATGGTAATGATATTCCACCTGTCCAGTTAAATCCAATCTGTTATTTAGCATTAAACAACATGACTTTTTTGATGACATGTCTTCTACCGTAGAAGAGGACCTGTCATTAAAAAAAAGTCCCCTGTAGATAAAAATGCCTCGTTCTAAGGTAACGAAAACACAGTGATCTTTATTTTCAGGTGATTATACACTAATGAAAACAAACGTATGAATATTTATATGCCATTTCTGCCAATAGATCCTACTAGATGTTACACACTGGACCTTTTAATGTTTGGTCTAACTGATTTGGACATTTGTATTCTTACATACAGGTCACGGTACATGTGTGAATACAGCTTTAGTTTGAGGTAACTAGTGGATGCAAATAAGCCACGTGTCTGAAAAATAACCAGTTCGCAAACACATGAAAAGTGCTGATTAGTTTTTATCAGATGCCGAAATTTCCACCCCGCATTTAGGTATGTATTTTATTATTTCTTCTTTAAGTTTAATGGCAGATAGGAACAACTTTTAGGTGCCTTTTTATATATTTTAATATTACTCAATTTATACAACTTGCAATGCAGAAAAAAAACATCATGTCATATATCATATTATACACTGTGTATCATATGGGGTAGCTTTAACCCTTTATAGGGCACTCATTGAAATACTTGGAAATTTTGTGTGTGTATGTTGTGATTTAAGAAGACAAGTGTTTTAGGCTTGTTCTTATTAGTTGTTTGTTCTTTTGGTGGTGTGTTGGCCCACTATACTTTTCTTGTTGGCACAGGCAGGCCTCCTTTCCATAGAAGGGACTGAGCCTAACCAGCTGCTGCAAAAGAAAATACTGCCACAGTCAATATTAGCTATGAAAATGTAATAAAGATAGCCATAAGCAATTGAAATTATCTGTGAAAGGAAACCATAACAAGCTGAAGTGTCATATTAGTATATCGAACTATAAAAAAATACCCACCAAAATTGCCATAGGAAGTGTAATAAAAACTGTCATAAGGAAGTTATTATATATGGTTCCGCGTCTGATAAAGGGTAAAAGCATTCAAGGAAATGTATGGTAAGTAGAAAGTGTGCTCATATTTAGTAACAGGCTATATGTTAGGGTTGATGCAGTTTTCAGGCACTTGTTTCTTCTACCACAATTAGATTTTTTGCAGAATGTCCTGGATTAAAAGAATTAGCAAAAATTCTCTCAGTTTATTTAGTTTTATTTGTCTCAAGGTCAAACCAAATCTAACCATTCACAGCAGTGAATAGTGTGCAAAGTGCAGGTGTAGAAGTTTATTGTCAAAGTTGTAACCTTGTGGTTACACTTTAATAGTAGGCTGTATTTAAAACTTTTGCTGGAACATTCCCTTTGTTTCTGATGAAGTTCCCAGAGTGTGAATCCTACGGGACAATAAGTAACTAGGGTTACTGGCCATTACCTAATGTCCAATCACACCTCGATGAAGTCATTCTTTACTTTTGCCTCTCTTCTTACTTTATGATAGGCATCTTCTCATACATGTGAAGAAAGACAGAAATAAAGACGACTAAGCTGAACTGATGATAACTACGGAAAACAAGAAAAGAAAAGAACAAGAATATGAACAAATGAACAAGGAGTTAACGAAAAACAAGAGAAGGGAAGGGGGGAGGAAGAAGAGATTCTAAAGAAAGATACATATAGATAGATTCCTTTTATCTACAGCTATAAAGAGGGGATTTGCGATGGAGGAATTAAAGGAGGGGAGGCCTTGATATGCAAATGAAGTTGCTGCTAATCAAAGCAATAAGATTAGCCTTCCAAATTGAGATGAAGAAAGGCTCCATTATCTGGGCCGAGTGTCATGTTTAATAACGCGGAACGGCATGGTAATTCACTAGTGATGCAACTGTAGCCTATGTGGGTTAGTGTTTGTGTGTGTGTGTGTGTGTGTGAGAGAGAGAGAGGTGTGAACAAAAAAGAAAAAACTGATATAGAGAGAATTAAACATGTGAAAGACAAATTGTGACCTTGTCTCCGTGTGCGCATGGTGGGTGTCACTCAGCGTGTGTGTGTGTGTGTGGGAGAGGGGAAGAGGGGGTGCAAAAAGCTGGTTCCCATGAGAAAAAAGTGTGTGTGTGTGGGTGTGGTTGTGTGCACATGCTTTGATGCAAAAGTTTTGTGCTCTGTTGTATAGAGAGATGAACACACATTAATTACTAAAAGTGCTGGATACAGGTGGACAGGTGTGACTGAATCGACTGCAGGTGGCACCAACAGGACTGCAAGACATAAAGAGGATTAACAGGAACACATTTCGACATGTGACTGATGAAACAGTGGAGAGTGCCCTAGTTGAACTAGTGGCAGAAGCTGTTTTTTGCTGCTTTTCTCTCTTCAGGTATAATTTGTTAAAACATTGATTTAAAAAAGAGTAGATTTGTGGTTAAAGGTACTGTCTGTTAATTTATTACACACACATATGGCACACCTCTGTAGCTAATTCTAGCTGTTGGAATTGTGCTAACTAAATAAAACGAGCTAATTTGATATCCCTCGGTGCTCAAACAAGCATGGCAAAGTAATACTATCAGTAAAATGTATATACAGCTGTGCCAATTGCTCATTTTTAATTAATATTTAATACCCCTTGATGCCCACAGTGATAAACGCACAGATAATTATCACCCGATTCTGCAATTCCCCTCAACCCTATAGAGCATTCCAGCGTCTTTTGGCTCATTGTTTTGGTTGTATGGGCAGCAACGTTTTTTTGGGTTCGCTCTCACCGCTCTTATCAACTGTGCTTCCAGCTTCCGGGCTG